CCAAATGTAGTATTACCAAAAGCTCTGAGGATAACTGAATGAGGAAGTGACACTCCTGGAGCAACATAAAAATGAACAGGAGAAGCTGCAAAACCGGGTTTCATATCAATTCCTTTTTGCCATACAACACCCAAAAGTCCTTCTTTTTCCTTCAACATTTCACAGTCCATACACATATCAACTTCTGACGTTGGGTCTTTCGCCCACATGACTGTAATAGTAGAATCGTTTTTAATCTGTACGGGCTCGTTGTTCGTATCATCTTGTGCATAAGGATATATAAATCTGAACCCTAAGAAAAAGGTAATACCCGAGTTTAATATATTTCGAATTTAACAGTTGATCGAGAAAACATTAAAACAAAAAGTTTGTACCTTTGCATATTTTTTTAATATCATATTTGTTATTTTTATGGTTTTTTTTATGGTTCTTATTTTTATGGCCACGTTTCTCTAAATCTAAACATATAAGAAAATATTAAAATATGATCTTTGTTTTCTGTTGCGAAACAATGTACTTTAATGACGCTTACTTTCATTTAGATCTAAATTGGTTGTTCCATAAGAAGTATAGATCAAGGCGAAGATGAATAATAATGCAAAAATCAATCTCTTGTTTGAAAGCATCATTTTTTTCTTTTTAAAAAACTACAAAAAGAGAAAAGATATTGCGAGGAATGAACCAACAATTCAAGGATATTTATATCAAAATACGTTCTATATCTATTGAGACTTTCAATACACGAAAAAGTACTGCCATCAGGGATGTGCATAATCGCACGAATTAAAATATATGGGGTGCTGCAGAAAAATGGCTTCCTTTAGCCAATTATATGTATCATGTCTTAGTCCTTTTCGTTTCTCCTGCAATCGATGCCCACTTTTCATTCTAGGAGAAAACGCTGCAAATACATTTATTTCATGTAGTCCCTGAACAATTTTATGCAAGTTGAGCTTCATGTACTTTTTTTCAAATTATTTTATATGGTTTCCATTGACAGTTATTGATGTTAATGATGGGAACACAATGTGTGCAATTAAATTACATACGTACGTACCTATCGCTATGTACATTTAATCTTTCCTTTTGACTTGCATTGTCATGTAGTACTGTACATATCAACAATTTTGTATTTGAAGTAGATTCACTTAAATTTTGCTATATTGATATTGCTCGAGTCCTGTCTTTTTATACAATATACGATAATTATATTATTCAGCTCTTTTTTAGAAACAGGTCAAAATCACGTTATTACCTGTATACCTTAGAATTAAATTTGATTATCGTTATATATATTAGCATTAACTTTAATGCTAAGAATGTTTTTATTTGATTTGTGCTAACAATTTGCATTGAAA